CCAGCATCATTTGCAGCTTGGATGTTATGATTTCTAATGTGACAAAATATGGAAAAGTTCAAGGGGTATGAATACTTTTGCAAACCACTGTATCTATCTATCATCTATCTGTCTGTTTTTAAACAAAACTTAAATAAGAATTTGTAAAGAAAACTCACAACTATTGAAAAAAGTCACAAAAATATATTTTTTAGATGTTTTTCCAGCATCATTTGCAGCTTGGATGTTATGATTTCTGAGGTTGTTGTAAATTAAAAAAAGAAAGAAACCAAGACACATTTTTGATTTAGAAGAGTAAAGTTGTGATATTGCGAGAATAAAGTCGTGATGTTACAAGAAAAAGGCAGCACAAGCATAAAGTCACAATATTATGAAAATAAAGTTGAAAAGTTACAAGAAAAAAGTCATATGAGCATAAAGTTACAATTTTACAAGAATCAAAAATCTCTTTTCACTGCTTTAAAATGAGTAATTTTGAGGATCTTGTGAAGTTGTACTTTATGATTGGTTAAAAGAAGTATTTAATTACACACCAGCAGTAAATTCTCAGCAGCAGGACTTTGAAACCATGCTGATAAACTGAAGCCTTGCTGCAGATAATCTCGGGTGGCATTAATACTTTCATCCTAATCTTATTATGGTTAGCAGAACTAAAGAAATGATTTGGTGTTTCAGACTTTAGCTGTGCCCACCACTGCTTTTTACACTTTCACAGGTAAATATTAGGRTTTTTAGAGATAAAATCTAACTTTACAAACATTCTTCACCAGCTAGTCGCCAACAGTCGCAGCCCAGCCTGACACAGACACACATTTGCGCCAAGCAGCCAGGAGGCGGGGCTAGAAGGGGTGAGGAGGGGAGGGGGGTGAGGAGGGGGCGGGGACACAAGGTGCCAGCAGCTTTAGCCAAGCTGGTTACCTTCAAAGGCTCGAGCTGCATCAACCAGGTGGGTCCAGTCCAGGCCTGAGGCAGGGTCTGGGAGGGGCATGAGGCCTGGGTCGCTGAACTTGGACCTGTCCGCCAAGGAGCCGTCAGAGAACCAAAACTCACCTGCAGAGAACAGGCAGGGATTCCATTCAGTGTCTGGACCCGAGCCTGAGTTCAGGGCTGGTCTTTAAGACAGCAGACAGAGGAGTTGGAGGGGTGGGGAGGAAGCATGGAGGGGGGGCGTAGGAGGAGGAAAAACATAGCAAGGGGTTCACCTGAACGGTTCTGTCCTGAACATCAAACAGCTTCTATCAGTTAGCCCCGCCCCTCCTTCCTCCCACAGGTTGCAGTTTAGAAAGTGACGATGAGAGAYGCAGACTGAAGGGCGATAAATGACTTGTCTAAGTGACTGTCTTCATGTTTCAATCAATATCTCTTTTGTCCCCTCCTGGAGGCCTGACAGGCAGAATGAAGCAGCTGTGGTTCTGCAGCAGGAGCTGGAGGTGACGTCCTCCACTCAGTTTACCAGCATTCTCCTGAGTGACTCACTGTTTACCAAACAGGCTGTTTCTGTGAGGCCCACGTTTCTAAACTATCATTCAAAACAATGGAGGAGCCATCAGGCTGACAGCCAGACAAAAGAAAACATCTTCCAGAAGCCCGTTTTCCACCTAACGACGGCAGTTAGAGACAGGTGAGGGACGGTGAGAAGACGAGACTGGAGGGACAGACGGGGCAGGCGGGGGGATGAGTGAATGAAACATTATGAGAGACAGAAACTGTGAAAACAAAAAACCCATCAGAGATCTTAAAGAGCAGCAGCRGCGCAGGAGGAAGACATCACACTTCTCCTTCAGCAGGATCTGCTGTGAGGAAGCAGGGTGAGCGTTTCCAGTTAGCCGGCTACATTAAAGGGCCCGTGACGTCACATTTTTGTATTAAATATGAATGCATTTTTAGAAAGAGGACATTGACAAAATATTGGAAAAGAAATTTCATGTCGCTGAGATGAACGGTTGTTGAGATTTTTGCCTGTGAAGTAACAGGAAGTGATGTCAAAGGGGAATRTCTGMATGTGAACAGAGCRATGATACARCAGCMAACAACCCAGAGTGTAGAGAAGAATCTGATGTTTCTTTAGATTATTTTGAGCCACTATCAGACATGAGGAGTCCGAGTTCAAATAATATTTTTTCAATAAACAAAAACCAGAGTTTTCTTTGTTAAAGAGTTCCCCTTTGATGTCACTTCCTGTTTCACTTTGGCTGAGTCAAGTTCAAAAGAAAATACAACAGTTATGGGACAAAATGGGTTAAATCGTGTGTATTATTCCAATTTTATTAAATATAAAGATGCTTTCTTTGACTTTTTGTATTTGAAGAATATACGTCACAGGAACTTTAAGGAGCGCTGCTGTAATAATAAATACAACTTTTATTCTGAAAAACTGGGATGTTACGTAAAAATGTAAACAAAAACAATGTTTGCAAAACTCATTAAAACCACATTTTATTCACAGTGGAACAAAGTAAACACATCAGTGAATTTTAGTGTAGTTTTATTTTTAGGGCAGGAATGGGCAACTGGTGGCCTGCGGGCCGGATGAGGCCTGCAGGTGACTTCCGTCCGGACAGCCAATGAGAAGGTAGGCCTTGGAATTAATTAATTATGGATGTAAACAGACTAATGAGAATAGTTCATTATATAGCTTTTTTAAAAAATTCCAAGAAAAATGGAGGAAATTGTGTCTTTTTACTGTATCAGGTTTTGGATTGTTTTAATCTTTTAGTGATTTTCTAGAAAAACATTCTAGTTTTTTTTTAATATAAATTGCAATGATTGTGAGGGTAGTTTAGTTTAATTTAATGTGTAGGACAGAAATAAATAAATAAATAAATAATTAAATAAATAAATAAAGCTTTTCTGTCAAACTGTTGTAGTGTTTGGAAGTGTTGATAACTATTTATTTGATGACTGAATAAATTTTAAAAAATCAATCAATCAAATCATTCAAATTCTACCAAGAAAGGTCCTGGGCAGGGATTCAATCCAACAAACTTTTCACTCCGAGGCAACTGAACTGCCCAGGCAGCAACATATCCATGTGAAGTATCCCCTTAATCTAATCTAATTTCAATCTGTAAACATCTTAAAACTGCATTTTTGATGCTTTTCCAGATGCATCTCATGCCACTAATGCACGTCTATACCATCAGAGAGGCAGGATTTTGAACTGTGTGCTGATAACAGACCAGATGGTCCCTCTTTTTCATGGTTTACAAAAAAAAAATCACATCTGGATTAAATCTGATTTGTTCCTCCAGCTGTTTCTGATTACAAACCTTTACTTTTATAATCTTTAGTTGATCCTGACATCTTTTCTCCCAATTTGATGTTTACTATGTTCCATTATGAATACAATATATATACTATTATTATATATTATTATATAATATAATATTTTTATTTACATTTAAAAGCATCCCAACTTTTCCTGAATATCTCGGCTCTTAATTGGTGAAAGGAAATAAACAGATAATCCATAAAAGGAACCAAACTCCTCAGCTGTTCTTGTCCATACTCACTCCGTAGGTTGGACCCTCCCTGGTTGTGGACCATGCGGGGGGGCAGCGTGCTGTGGTACGGCGGGGTGGTGCTGAACAGGATGTCGTTGGGCACGGCCTGGTCCAGCATGGAGCTGTGGGAGCTGGCGTGTGATGAGGCCTTACGGTTGCTGCACACGCTCTCGTCCGACAGCGTTCGGTACAGCGAGCGTCTCGGAGACAAACCGCCCGCCGCCAACACCTGCGGGAGGAGGACAACCGCTCGTCAAAAAAAAAGACCGACCTGCTCTGCCACCGCTCTGCCTTTCTGTGGGCACAGCGGGTTCACGAGAGCGGGCGGGGGGCATCGTGGAGCCGTGTCAGGAATCAATTACAGTGTTTTCTCAGGAAAACACAAGTGATGGAGCACAGCTGGAGGTGCTGACAGAGGTCACTTCCCTGTGACAACAAGGGGCACCAAGTGGCCACAGAGCTTAAGCCTGAGCAGAAACTAACAGCAGGAGGCTGCAGGTGGAACTGGAAAACTGTTGTTACTTTTAAACAAGTTCAAATGATTCAAGATGCAAATTTTCTCTCAAAACAAACAGAGACGTTGTCAAACCACACAAAATGTTTTTTTTCTATAATTTCTATAGAACTTATCTTGACACCTGCACCAGTACGGGATAAATCTTGTGTCAGCAGGAAGTGAATTTGAATTGCTCAGAGTGAATGTGAATGTGCGTAATTTGAAATTAAATGCATTGGTTTGAAAATAAATTTCATTAAATTGAAACTGAATTTAAAGTTTTGAACTTGAATTAATTTGCTTTGAAACTGTATTGTGGTTTAATAAAAGTTCAGTTTGACTACTTTCACTTTCAGTTCCAAAATTCAATTGGTCCTTGAGAAGGCCAGGCAGAGTAATCAAACACAGATCAACAGATTTACGTTTCACTTTGGTGAAGTTTCCCTTCTGATTGCATCAACAGAGTTGATCAATCAGCAGCAGCATCTGATCAATATGTGATCCATGATGTGATGTAAATGTAACATTTTTTACATATAGAT